GAACAAATCTGCATGACCGTCATCACGTTGTGACCGATGGGGTTCCTACCGCTTGTGCATGAGCGGATGAGAATACTCGAACGGGACTGTAGGAAGTGGCTACGCAGATTGGAATTGATGGTCCTCTGTGTTGGTTTCATGGTTGATCCACGGGGCTCGGACCTGCGGGAGTGCTTGCTGTATCGCGGCACTCTCTCTCTCCCGCCGCGTCCTGATCGTGTCTGCTGTCCTANTTGGTTTCATGGTTGATCCACGGGGCTCGGACCTGCGGGAGTGCTTGCTGTATCGCGGCACTCTCTCTCTCCCGCCGCGTCCTGATCGTGTCTGCTGTCCTATATACAAGTGATACCATCATCTTCAACACACATACATGGGTACACTAACACTGTAGAGTGAGTGTATACCTCGAGGGAACGCGTGCTGGAGATGAGTGGCGCCGATGTTGCAGCAGAGGCTGCCGACGTCACCACTAGTACACAGGGCAGAGTTGACAACCTGGAGAGCAAAGTTTCAGGCCTGACGGACGAGGTACAGCAGCTGCCAGGGCCTCTCCGAGCCGCCCTCGGAAAGTTTGAGAATGAGGGGGAGTCCGGCGGCGCTGGGGTGGGCGCTGTCGCCACGGGCACTACGTCTGCCCGCAGTCTGCTGGAAGAGGGGCCGCACAACGACGGAATCACGCCGCCCGCACAGCACGAGGGAAGAAGCACCAGACCGGGAGCCAGCCTGGTAGTGCCAAGGATCCCTGCTAGTGGACCCGGGCATAGGATCGGGCAGCGGGGAGGTCATGGGGTCATCATCCCAAGAGCAGCCTGCTGCGGTGGGCGCTTGCGTAGACTACACGGCTGCAGAAGAAATCATCAGCAGGAGGCCAGTTGCGGAAGGCGAACCGGTGTGGGCATTTCAGGTACCTGCTAACGGTGGGATTGGTAGATTCCAGAACACTGAATACCTCTACAAGATAGGCAGCGATGGTAGAGATGCAGCCGCCGCTCGAGGCACTAGACGAAGAGTCAGAGCAACGTACTCATCACGTCGAGAAGAGCTGTGCGGCGCTGGAGGGGGTGCCGCAGACGGCACACCAAGTGTGCCTGTTGACGGTCTAGAGAGCTGGGGCATCATGCATCCCCGCGACGCCGTCGGTGTGCCATCAAAACAACCAGCGCAGGCCACTGCGCGCGCACCATCCACACACAGCAGTAGCAGCAGGAGATGGTGAAGATGGCACCATTGCAGCAGCGTAGAAGGGTCAAGACACAGAAAGCCAGCCGCAAGGCCATGTGCCCATAGCCGCGACAGAAGGGGCGTGGGGGGGTGATATTCAGAGAATACGGCGAGATGGCCGTGTGCCCATAGCCGCGACGGAAGGGGCGTGGGGGGGCAACATTCAGCGAGTACGGCGAGATGGCCGTGCGCCCATAGCCGCGACGGGAGGGGCGCGGGAGGGAAACAACTAAATAACACGGCGGGAGGGCCGTGTGCTCGCAGTCGCGACGGGAGGGGCGCGGGAGGGCAACGATCAATGCAGCCCCACAGCGCTTCGGGAGGGCGTGGGGGGGAGGTAAACATTAGCCCCGTAGCGCGCCGGACGGGGCG